ACACACACACACACACACACACACACACACACACACACACACACACACACACGCACACCACACACCTGTGACAAGACTGAAGTGAATAAAACCTGAAGTTTCCCCGAAGTCTTGCTCAGAAGGGTCTATTGTGTGATGCGCACGCCCAGCCCAAATCATGTGACAAGATCCCACTGAGGGGGTGATAGCCCCGAACCTTCCCTGGCTTTTTGTTGGGTTCCCCAGGACCCAATCCCTTACAGAGCAGTCCTGGCTTCCTTGTGTCAATCACACTTGTTCTCTTAGGTTAATTCTGTTAAAACGCAGGCAGGGTAGAGTCTTTAGTTCTGATGGGGCTAAACCCCATGCCCTCAGGAGACCGCTGGGGCCCCTCCTGTGAGGCCACGCTAAGCATACACTCGCTGCACACAATCTCGGGTCACTCTGCTGCTGATCATGGTCCCTTGAAGGCAAGATGCCACTAGACAAGAGGGAGTCACACTGAGATCCGGGTGAGTGACACCCCCGTGGTCCTTGTGTCATTGTAAAGTGTTTACATGTGTTTTGTTTTGCTTGAGATGTGGTCTCTCTATGTAGCCCAGGCTGGCCTTAACCTTCCTAAGTGCTGGTATTACAGTCATGCCCACCATGTCCTGCTGGGATTTACATTTCACATTAGTTACAATGAAAAAGTTTTAAATTGTGTGTGTGTGTGTGTGTGTGTGTGTGTGTGTACATGGATGTTTTGCCTGCATGTGTATCTGTGCACTGTGCATGTATGTGAAGGCCAGAAGAGGGAGTCGGATCCCATGGGACTGGAGTTATAGATGATTTTGAGCAATCTTGTGGGTGCTGGGAATAGAACCTGGGTCCTCTGGACAAGTAGCCAGTGCTATTAACCACTGAGCCATCTCTCCAGCAGCCCCTATAGTGAACTTTTAGAGGCTGGAAACAGAAATGTTCCAGGCTTTGTGTGGGAGAGATTAATTTTGGACAGACAATTCTCCTAGGGAATCCCCAGTCACATTTTCATTTACTTTCCTGCCTCACTGGTACTCTCGTTAGGGGAAAGACAACTTACCCTGGCAGGTAAGGATTCCAGACCCTGATGATTCGATCCACCCCACCTGTCACCAGTAGGTTTTGTCTCCTGCAGAAGGAGAACGTCTTGACTCCCTTATGGATGCGGAACACGGTGTGATCACATGCTGCTCGCCTTTGGGGCGGAGCAAGGGATGCTGGGCTTCTCCCCATCCTGCCAGTCTTCCCAACATTCCTTGTTTCTTTCAGCTTTTCCTTGACATTTGTTGCTCCCATAATGAACCCTAAAAATATTCACAGGAAAACAAGACATAGTTTCTTAATGAGATCGCTCAATTCCCTCACAGCCCGCTGTTTTTATTAAGGTCCCAGACTTGTTCTCGGTAATGACGTAGGCATTTTCTTTCATCCCCAGGGTTAAACTCCAGACAGCCAGAAGATAAACTGACATAAGAAAAGACTCTTCTCACTTTTCTGAAAAGGGACATGAAACATCTGGGAGGGCAGAGGTACCAGGAAGGCTATTTGCCTTTTCGGCTTTCATTGCCTGTGTCCCGGCCCTGCCTTTTGTTTGAGTCTTTCAGAGGCTCAGTGGTGTAAGCCCATCCATGCCCATTTTATGTAAGAAACCTTGTCTAGAAAGCACAGAGCACTGGCCATCCAGAAAACATCCAGCTGTCCTGGAGAGATGGCTCAGCACCTAAGAGCACAGGCTGCTCCTCCAGAGCATCAGTTTGATTCCCAGCACGCACATTGCCTTAGAGACCCCGAGATGTTGGAGATGCCAGAGCCATGGGCTACCTGCCCAGGAGAGCTGCTAACAGAGAGTGGAACCAGCCCAAGAGAAACAAGTGTGCTGCAGTCAACAAAGCTGAGAGGAGCTGGAGATCTGAAGAGCATTTTGACAACAGATGAGGAGATGTGGAATTTGAAGTTCACCCACCCCACCTGGTTTTTGGTCTCAACTTTGGCCCAGTATTTCCTCACTATGCTCCCTTCCCTACATTTTGGAACAGCAATGTATATCCTGTGCCATTATATATTGGAAGTATGCGATCTGCTTTTTGATTTTGACTTTACAGGGGATTACAGTTAAGAGATTGTATGAATCTTAGAAGAGACTTTGAACTTTAGACTTTTAAATAAGTTTGAGACTGTGATAGACTATGGGGACTTTTGACACTGGACTGAATGCATTTTTGCATTATGATATGGTTACAAGTCTTTGGGGACCAGAGAGTAGAATGTGGTGGTTTGAAATAAAATGCCCCCCTAAAAGGAGTGGCACTATTAGGAGGTGTGGCCTTGTTGAAGTAGATGTGGCCTTGCTGGAGCAAGTGTGTTACTGTAGAGGTGGGCTTTGAGCTATCTTTTGCTCAAGTTTCCCTCAGTGTAACACTCAGTCTACTTTCTGTTACCTACAGATCAACATGTAGCATGCTCCTTCTCCAGCACCATGTCTGCCTGCATACTGCCATGCCTCCCCACCATGATGATAATGGACTGAACCTCTGGAACTGTAAGCCACTGCCTCAATTAAATGCTTCCTTTATAAGAGTTGCCATTGTCATGGTGTCTCTTTGTAGCAATAGAAACCCTGAGACAGTGGCTCACCATCATCTATAACTCCAGTTCCAGGAATCTGATGCCCTCTCTGGCCTCCACAGGACATGGCATGAACATGGTGCACATACAGTAGGTAGACAAAACACCCATATACATAAAAACCAATTTAAAAATTGCAAAGAAAATCACAGAAGGAAGTACTGAGCCTGGGAACGTCTGGAACTACACTGAAGTGTGCTGAGAACCCATCGGCTCCATCAAGCAGCCAGGCAATTGTTCCCTACACTGATTTGGACAGATTTGTTCAGCGGAATGATTGGTTGATTTATGAATCTCTTCAATAGGATCCAAATGGTGGCCTCAGTGTCCTCCTGTGGGTTTCCAACCTGGGTCTGACCTGAGGATGAATAAAGGGGGTCCTCAATACGCTCAGCAGGGCCTTCCTGATCCCTGTCACCTGGCTTCCCCTGGACACTCACTCCACCGTGTTCTAAGCCGTTTAGAAGAACTTTGGAGAAAGGAGAGTGAAGAAGAATGTTCGGCTCGCCACTGCTGAGTCATTTGCTTGTGACTCCGTTGGGTTAGTTAGGGTTGTGTCTGTCACTACAAGTTACAAGGTCAACTCCTTGCCAAGAAGCAGGAAGAAGAATGTGCCTTTCTGGAACGCTCCACGAAGTCTAATTCGGGCTCCATCTTCAAGGGCATGTGCCACACCTCTCCGCAGACCATGTTCAGGTCCGACTCGGCCACAGGCTTGCTGAGTCCTCTGGAGAAATGGAAAGTCTCTAGAGGAAACCTGTGGTTTTCAACATTGCCACTATTCTGTATTCTGCCTCTTAGCTCCTCTAATTTGGGGAGACACCTTTGCAGTGGAGTTCCGAGATGTGTCTAAACATGTAAAGAGGGCATCCCCATCTCCCCCCTCATTTCCCCGGAGCTCTTTCATTTTGCCTGGCCCAAGGCCTCGGAGTTGAGAATTGCCAGCCATCCATTCTGCGAGTCCTGCTAGCGAAGTGGGATCAGTACTGAGCATCACGCGGAATGATCTCCATATTCTTCACAGCTGCCAGCCAAGTCTGGGGCCCCCTTTGGTGGCAGAGAACTGAGATGGGAATCCTGTTCGTCTCTCCGCATTGGTGAAAGCCTGCACTGGGTAGAGAAGCTGGCTACCTGCGCCCCCACCCCACCCCAATAGATGGCTGAACTAGCCAGAGGATCTGGGTAACCGCTCTAAGTGTGGAAGAGACACGGTGCACCTCCCTGAAACGGCAGCTCTGCATGACATTGGCCCTCCCTGTTCTGAACGGAGTTCTGAAACTTCTGAGCAGGTGTGTCACTTTATTTGAATTTTATTTTATTTTCCAAGTAAAAAGAGAATAATCCAAGTTCATTTGCATGAACTCTAGCTACTCTCTTCCAATAGAGCCAGACAAGCATACACATTTAAGTGGTTGTCATGGGAACCGAAGAGCACAGCTCTTCTCCAAGGTCTGAAGGAAGGATGATGAAAAGTTTAAGTGGTCGCCATGGAAACCGAGAGCAGATTTAGTGCTGGTTCATATCCCCAGCGCATTAACTAGCAGGCAAGTCTTCAGGGATGGGGATGCGGGAGGAAGTGAGCCTGATCCTCCACCGGGATCTTAGCATCAGGTTGACCCAGATGCAGCCTCCGCAGCCACAGTACCCCATGGGGTCAGCAGCCAGGTGGAACGTACTCCAGGTTCAGCCCTTGCCTCCTCGACTCAAGCTGTATTTTGAGACTTCTTTTACTTATCCTGCCCACGGCAGGTACCCTACAGATTTGGGGGGGGGGTCACAAAACAGAGCCTGTTCCTGTTTGTAGGAGACAAGACACTCTTAAGCATCCAGCCCTGTTTTCCCCATGGCCTTAACCAAAATATGCTTCTCTTTGCATATTCATTAATGACAAAAAGAAGGCTAGGCATTCCTGCCTGAAATAAACAGCAATATGGAAGGCGCTCCTAACAGCTTGAGAGTGAATGAGGTGCCCCGTCCACAGGCAGCCGCCTTCTGCTGTCTCGGTGTTCTCTTTTTATAAGATGCGTCTGCTGGGAATCCAAGGCTGACCATAAGACAAGCTTTAAAGCCCCCGAGTATATAAAGGAAGGCCCTTCAGGCTCCACCAAAGGTCTCTTTGCCTAAAGGGGCAACAGTGAGTCTTAGGAATGGAAGAATTTCCTCTCTGATGAGGCTGTGACTACCTGACTGCTTTGGAGGAGCAAAGGCTGGTATACACACACGCACACGCGAGAGCGCGCGCGCGCGCGCGCGCACGCACACACACACACACGCACACACACACACGCACATGCACACGCACGCACACGCACACACGCACACACACGCACGCATGCATGCACACTGTAACGATCAGTGGACACTGGGAACTACACGAATAGGCTGGCGTTTGGGGAGGTAGGGGTACTGTAAGGACAATGAGATAGGAGAAAACATTTGACAGGATTGTTGCCTCAGTCCTCAGGCTGTCCTGGCGTGTGACACTTCAGGCACTGAATGAGAGATAGATATGGTTTTGAATTCTGGCTTCACAGGTGCACTCACTTGACAAATCTTTGCTGAGTACCTGTTAGATGCTAGGTACCATCCTGAGCCCTTGGGTGCTAACAATGAACAAAACAGTTGAGAAATCACGGCACCAAGGGGAGCCAGACTATAAAGAACACACACAACATTTCAGAAAGGGGCTAGATCTGTGGATTCAAACAAGGGAAGACCAAGGCCAGTGGGGTAGTTTGAATGTAATTGGCCCCCACAAGCTCATAGGGAGTGGTATTATTAGGAGGCGTGGCTTTGTTGAAGTAGGCGTGGCCTTGTGGGGTGAGCTTTGAGGTCTCCTGTGCTCAAGATGCCGCCCAGGGTCCGAGTGCACTTCCTGTTGCCTTCTGGTCAAGATGTAGCCAGCGCCATGTCTGCTCCCAGCCGCCATGCTTCCTGCCATGTGATAATGGACTAAACCTGAAACCGTAAGCTGCTACCTCAGTTAAGTGTTTTCCTTTATAAGAGTTGCCGTGGTCATGATGTCTCCTCACAGCAATAGAAACCCCAACTAAGACAGCAAGGAAGGCTGGGAGTGGGAGGAGAGGCAGTTCCCGCATATGACAAGGTGGCAGAGGAAGCGTGAGTGAGATGTGACAGATAAGCCAAGGCTTGAGAAACGTGGAGTGAGCTAGGTGAGAGTTTGTGGGGGTCTCCTCAGAAGAAGAAATCACAGCCCCAAACACTGTCCAGAGGATCAGTGTGACTGGAAGAGGGAGTGTGAGAACGGAAATAGATGTCACCAGAGGGGTAAGGGTTGGGGGCCAGTCACAGAGAGCTCTGCAAACTTTGGCTTTCATTCTAAGTGGAATGGGGTTCACCAGTTACGCTGGTTAGTTTTGGCCAGCTTGACACAAGCTAGAGTCATTGGAAAGAGAAAAACTCAGTTGTGAAAATGCCCCTGGAAGATTGGCCTTTAGTCATTTTCTTATTGATGACTGATGTGGGAGGGTCCAGCCCATCGTGGGTGGAGCCATCCCTGGGCTGGTGGTCCTGGGTAGTGTAAACAAGCAGGCTGAGCAAACCATGGAGAGCAAGCCAGCAAGCAGCACCCCTCCGTGGTCTCTGCTTCAGTTCCTGCCTCCAGGTTCCTGCCCTGCTTGAGTTCCTGCCCTGACTTCTGTCAATGATGGACAGTAGT